GTTGGATTACAAAAATGAGATTGAGGAAAATAAACTTAAACCATTCATGCTAAAAATTCTTCACTTCTTCATCCTGAGATTGAACCTTTTGCACATCACAATAAGCGTTTCTCCAAAACCAATTTCAACACATTTACAGCTTCTGAGCAGCACATTCAGCATGGGAATTTTAATCTATTTGCTCAAGAAACAGAAAAGGGAAAAATAATTTTAAAGATAAAGAAAACATGTTATTCCCACCTGCACCAACAATGACTATCTTTAATGGTTTGTATGGACGTGGAGAGTTACGAAACGTTGAAGGTAAATAAGCAGCTTCCAAATAATTGACTGAACTCTCAATCCCTGGTCTTGGATAGTCAATGCAAACAACCTATATAACAAACATATCATCAATGTGTTTCTTCTTTCATTCACATTTCAAAAACCCCTAATGGGATGAAAACATTTCTTTGGTGCCATACCTTCAAAGGGGACACATCTTTTCCTGATCTCGTCATAAAAGCATGAGCAGCAGGACTCTTCAATTTACTACCCATAGCATCACTACTTGCAAATGATAGTGTATTCATTTTCCCACAAAGACAGTAGCATCTCCAAGACTGAGAGCTCCAAAGATTATTTAAGTTGTTTTGCCCTCTCAAATTGACAGCAGAAACGTGTCCTAATTGGGACATTTCGAAACTCGAGATTTCTTCAAAAAAATGTTTATGAATTCAACAAGCTCCAAAATTGCAGCCCTGAAACTTTAAATATACGTCATACTTAAAAACGTATCCATATCAAGAATCCAAAGACAAATAGTTTGCATAAATACTTAAATTTAGACAACATGAAATCCTAACCTTTTAAGCCTTTAAAAATTCTACCTCAAAACCCCTGATATATTAATTTGTTTATAAAACTCCTGAATTGCAAAGAAATAGATGTAACTCGAAACGAAGAACCCACTCTCAGTTAACTTCAAATTAATCTTTGTTATCCATGTCAAGAACCCCCAAAGCAAATAGTTTGCATAAATACTTACACATAGACAAGAACAAGAAATTTCAACCTATTAAGCATTTCAAAATTCTACCTCAAAAACTCAGATATTTTATATTGTTTATAACTCCAGAATTGCAAAGAAATGGATGTAACTCGAATCAAAGAACCCAAACACAGAAAAATAAATAGCAGTAACTTTTGAACACCCTTCCGAGCACACTATTAGTTAACTTCAAATTAATCTTTTCCCAATAAAATCCCAACTCAATATTTTTTCTTTTTAGGAAAACCAGCTCATAACCAAATGATTTAAGAAAATGAGGAAAAAAAGCTTCTGTTAAATTAGACAATTTTACCTTCCAGGCAAATCAAACGGAGGTGACACTCCAAATCCATGTTTATCCTACCGCCCTCAACTGCCTTTCTCCACCCACCTCCTCCGCACGAGTGCCATAATCCAATTTTTATATCCTAATCCCAGCCCATTAAACCATGATCCCAATTTCCCAATTTTCCCAATTATTCAACCATATAACTTCCCTACTCTCACCAACACACTCCAAAATTTGGCATTCAGGTGGAATTTACCCAAATCGGCTTGGTCGGCTTCGGTTTTAGATTGTGCTCACAACTGACCCACAGGGCGTCGTCGGAATTCACGAACGACGCCGTGACGTCGTCATCAAAAAGCAGCACATGACACCCCACCACCTCTAGATCCTTTCCGCTTTCGAGGAGAGATTGATGAAGAGGAAGCAGAAAGAGGAGGAAGGAGCCAAGATTTCATTCTGCCTTTGTATTTTCTGCTGAAATAACATAAAATGAAAGAGGAAGTAAAAAAGTCGTTTCCCGTGTTTTGGCCATTTTGGCTTGTTCTGTGAAGCAAACGTCCAAAACGTGATTTTTCAGCGTTTTCTCCATAAATCTTTTTTTGTTTTCGAAAATGGAAAAGACAATGGATTTTTGGTGTTTTGAAAAATCGAAAATAAAAAACGACTTAAAAACAGAGAACGGACCTAAATTTTTTATACAAAACCGACCAATCGCCAGACCGCACCTAGAAATTATCTTCTCCGTGGTTAAATTCCAAACCCTGGAAGCCTCGAGCCCTAGTCCTCTCCACATAGCTTTATCAGACACACATTCACACACCGAAACGATGTCGCACTTCGGAAGATCTGGGCCACCGGATATCAAAGACACCTTTTCTCTATTGGTACTCAACATAACTTTCCGTAAGTACTTCTCCCCTTTACCCTAATTTCGCCTGTTTTGTGAATTTTTGTTACTTATTGTAGGAGATATGTTTTAATTTTTTTTTTTTGGTTTTTGTTGGTTTGTTTTCAGGTACGACTGCTGATGACTTGTTTCCCCTCTTCGATAAGTATGGAAAAGTTGTTGATGTTTTCATCCCGAGAGACCGAAGGTATATGCATTAACTTACACAGTACACGAATGATTTTGCGTATACATATATAATTTATATGTAAAAGGTTCTGCGGTTTGGGAATATGGCAAATTGTAATAATCGTGTTTTGTTTTGAAATCCAGTACTCTTGATTTATTTATTTTTCATAATTTTGTGGTGTTATTTATGCTGTTTTTCCTTTTATTGTTCCACAAAGCGCGCCTAAGCGAAATGTATTGCCTTGGCAGTAAGCGCGAAATTACGCAGTCAACTGCCATGCACAACTAGGGGAGAAAAGCGAGAAGTGCCCCTAAAAACTAAAATAGACAGGCTCCGCTCATATCAAACTCAGGGCCATACCATTTTATTAATTTTTTCTTGTTTTTTTAAAAGCCTTTAATTGACTTTACTTCATTAATTATTTTTTTCCTTTTTTTTAAAAGCCTTTTATTTGACTTTAATTTTAAGTTTTTAAATGATTTTATCTGAACAAAAGTAAATAATGTCTTGGCTGCTTTCCTTAACATAGTTCCACCAGCTTATAAGATTTAAGCTACGATATTATCTACGTTATGTAATTATGATTTTGTGACTTAGTCGTTTTGTTGGAAATTTAAGTATGTATGAATTTCCTATAATCTATTAAGTAGGATTTGTCTAATTAAAAGTTGAAACTATAAAAAATAGTCTAGCTTTTGCATTTCAAAAACTTGAAAATGTATAATTGATCAATTGTAAAAAATATTAAGTAAATATAGTATTTTATAATTTTAGATGTTCGGTATGTATTATTTTAATTATTAAATAATTTAAAATTTAAAATAAAATTTAAAAAATAAGAAAATGCTTTTTTACGTCTAGGCTCGTAAAGGTTGAAGTTTGACCTCCATGCTTTACGTATTTTAGAACACTGCTCTTTTATGTGCTTTACATTTTCGATTTTCCACATGAATGATTGTGTTTGTTTGTATTTATATTAGTTTAACTTCATACCTCCTACTTTTTCCCCACTTCCACCTGCCTCTAATTATACATATATGTGGATATTGAGGTTTCTCCCTACTGTTTTGTTTTACATGTCATTCGATTCCTTCTCTTGAACTGAGGTGTTCTTTGTGATAATTGTTATTTAGGACTGGAGATTCGAGGGGCTTCGCATTTGTGCGGTACAAGTATCAAGATGAGGCTCAAAAGGCTGTTGAAAAGCTAGATGGTATGTTGAAAAAATTGAAATAGGGAGTTATTAACATAATTAAAGTTGTGTAGATTCTCTGTGTGGGTGATTTTGCTTTGGCTGCTGTGTGTAGGAAAACTTGTTGATGGGAGAGAAATAATGGTTCAGTTTGCCAAGTATGGGCCCAATGCTGAACGAATGTGAGTTGATTCAGTTTCTTCACTTTGGTTTTTCTCAATTTCCGGTCCCAAGTATTGATTTTATTTGGTAAATTTTGGTAGTTTTCTTGTTAACTGGTATTTAGTATTTGAATCGAATGATTTTATGTGCAAAATTTCACAGTTTTGTCATTTCCACATATGAAGTGGTCTGAACCTTGGTTGATGACTGTGATGCATCAACACGCCTCCGGCGCTAGCGAGTCAGGACTGAAACATATTGAACACTGACACGACCTGACGTGTCTATGCTAGTTGGCTTGTCAGAAATTTGTATTGATATTCTAGGATCCAACACGTCTTCTGACACGGCCGATCGATTTAAACTAACGAAAAAAAAAGAAGATAAACAAATCTGGCGAAGTCGATTTATGAAATAAAATCGAATGGCGGAGGGTGAATGGTGTTTGATGTCGATAGTGCAGGTTCCAATCATGTCACCTGAGTGAAGATGAAATCCTAGTTTTTGTCTAAGAAGACAACCGTATCTAGTCACTAATTTTTTTAGTTAAGTCAAGTTTCGGCACTTTAAATTGAAGTAAAAATCGCGCCTTTTAATAGAGAAGAAAATGTTATCCAATTTTTAAGAGTCAAATCGCATTTGTACTTAATAGGTTATCAAGAAAGATCAACCTTTACTTGATTAAATTGCTGTTTAGTTCTCCAATTAGAATACAAACCCTTGATTATATTTATATTTGACTATTTTGTTTTTGATGCAACCAGTATACAAAATTTATTTGTTTTACACTATTACATCTAAAAAAATAAAAAATTATTATTTTGATTAATGTGTGTGCAACTTTTCGTCTCACTACCTTTATCAAAAATTGCGCTTTGGCGTGTATGTTACAGTGCATCATATGTTGATTTCATGGCTAGGTGTTCGAAGTTTGACGATTTAGCTGGTGCTTCATGCTTTTTATTAGATCAAAGCCACTTCTAACATGCTTTTGTGTATTTATTGCATCAGTCACAAGGGGAGAATTGCAGAACCAGTTCCCAGGTCAAAAGGGTCAAGAAGCCGCAGTCCTCGGCCTAGGTATAATAATATCGTTTTATACTCAATTTAGTTTCTGTTTGGGCTCTATTAAAATATTAATGCATTTTTCTTTCTCTTTTTTTCAACTTATAATGCTCGGACTCTGATGCGGGTATCGTATACGGGTACATATCTAGTAGTCGGATCTCATTATAAAAATTAAGATACATGGATACGGTTAAAAACGATTCAAATTTCGGATACGGGTACGAAGATATTTCTTACAATTTTTTTTTTTTTTTAAATGTTAGAACAATGCCAAAATAACGAAGAGAAAAATGGTTCAGTTAGTAAATAACCACAATATTAAATTAACTTGTAAACAAATTAACTGATATTGGTTGTTAAAAAATGAACTCGTAGTTTATTTTGTTTATCAACTCCTTCGATATAATCAATTTAAACAATTGGATTATAATTTGAAATCAATTTAAATTTAAAGTTAAAATAAATTCTTTTAAAAAAATTTAGAAAAAAATCAATTTCGATGTCTTATATATTATTTAAAAACAATTATAGTAATAAATTTAAATTTAATACAAAAAAAGGATATATCACTAAATCATTTTAATTACAACATAAAATGTTCACAAAGATAAAATATAAGAAATAAAAAAATTATACAAAAATGAACTCAAATTAAATTAAATACAAAATAAACTCGTTAACTACATCCATTAGACCACAACCGCCCATTTAACACAATCTCATTAACTCTATCCACCGGACTTCTCAAGAGCCCATTTAACGCCTCTAGAACTCGTCTTCCCCAACTCTCTCTTTCTCTCTCTCTGTGTGCAAATTTTCCAGCCACTAAACGCAAAGCACGAGAAGCAAGACTCACCCTC